TGCTTCGGAAGGCACGTTAAGCCGTTGGTCCCGGCTGCATCTGCAGTCGTTAGCACCCGCCAATCCGGACTGGGCCCGCGTGGTGGGTCATGGCCCAATCTCCCTATTTCATCCATAGGGAGGGCCTGTGCCCCAGCAGTGGGGACATTAATAGGCTGATGATGATGATATTTAAATAGCTAAAGAAATTCATTCAATATCAATAGTACTTTCGTTTTATAATATTAGCAATAATAAGTGAGTGAATCATATCTTACTGTACAACCAGATACAAAATACTAAACAACAAAGCGTACCGACTATCCTGCTTGCTTGCTGCTTGCACTTACTGAGACTCCTTAAAACGTCTAACAGGGTATGGGGGTTGAAGGATGTGATATTGCAGTTGCCGTTGCAACTAGTCTACTCGTATGCAGTCCTATGTCTTACATTTTGTGCGCTCCCTGTTATTTCATTGATATTTAACTAACACGCTTTAGAAATAGGATTTCATCGCGTACGTCAGTATAATCGTACGAGCTAATAAAAAATCTATGGATCAATTTAAATGCTCGTACTCAGCACACAAACATCTACCCCCACCAGGATTCGAACCCGGGACCTCTCGAGCCAGCGACACCATGAAACCCGGCGTACAAACCACTCGACTCGGATATATTAATTGACGACCTCCGTGGTCGTCAATTAATATATCCGTTCTATATACTCGTCCTTGTATCTTTAAATATTATGTTCGTTATAGTTACTTTTACCTATGGAATTGTACCTATTTAACTTAAAATAACTAAAGACTCCCGGGATGGAATTTGATGCGCTTTGGCACAAATGATCATGACTATGATACCTTTCAAACAAATGTAGTTTAAGCCGTGGCGGACGTGGGTGCAGTGTCCATGCAATTTTGCCCATTGTCCTTTCGTCCTTTTTAGTTTCTTAACGGCTTTTTCGGCTTGTGGCTTTATGAAACCACGATGCAAGTGAAACTTTAAAAATCAGTTATAAAAATGTTTTTCCTAAGTTGGGAATCAAACTTGGGCCGCCCGCTTAGCAGGCGAGCTTTCTACCACTGAACCACGACGGTTGTTGATAAGGTTCTGAATTGTATTCAACTAAAAAGATGAACGAAATATTTTGTGACGGTGAAGTTAATATACATAACAAAGATCACAGAGCGCATTTACAAAGGGACAAGTTGTCGCCTAAAAAGCGTAGTATTATGAGCGACGATGGAGAATTCAAGGGCTACACATTTGGAATTCATAACTCCAACTAGACTGTACAGAGAGCAAGTGCATGGACAAAAGCCGCTCTCCTACCGTATCCCCTGTTCAAACAACCGTGTTTCGTTCAAATATTTGTCCAATTATTCGCGGTGGACGCATATACCTACACTACAGCGTAAATGAAATGTCATCTCGTCGACAGCCAACGTGACGACCACATGAAGGCTTTATTTATAATTTGAAATCAATGCAGTCGAATTTGCTTAGTTTTTCTATTAATTTAATTATTTACAAGACGAATATTTCGTTAATGGTTAACAATTTTTAAGTACCTTTTTGACGTTGCAATAAATATAGTCAACTTTTACTATCGATTGAACAACGCGAATAGTGACGACTCGGACACAAAGTTATTAAGCTAACAATTTGCAGGGATGTGAAAAACAATTATCGACTCCGATTTTCTTTACAAAAAATCTGTTCTTGGGTCATTACTCCTAAATAAAATTTATGTGTTATAGAAACAGACCTCACATAAAGAAAAGGAAAAGCCTGAATATTCCAAAATTAAGATAATCGCTACCTTGGAGTAAAAAGGTAGTAAAAGCCAAAACTCTACTTTATAGTACGAGCAAAAATCAAAATTTCAAAATCATTTTTGCTAATATATTTTTATTCTTTTAGTTATATTGGCCTTATTAACTGAGATTTGTTATTTTTTTATGTTCTTTGCAATGGAAAGTACCTATGTGAAAACTTATTTTAATTTTTGTCAGTTAGGTCCACTTGCAGCAATTTTGCTAAATGTCAATTTAATTAAAACTCGATATAGCGACTTTTGTTGTGAAGCAACAATATAAATAGAGTAGGAAAGAAATAGGAAAAGGCTATAGAGTATATATTTAAAAGATCAATAAAATATTTACAGAAAACAAAGAATACAAAAGAAAAGAGGATGGTTGAGTGTGTAGATGTGAAGTGTGGAGGTGTGAAGTATAGTGGGCGTAGGTTGTCGGCGATCTTCTTCAGGAGACTTGAGGCCTGGATTTGAAGGTCGAGAGGCCGTTGTTCTGTTCTTTTTTCATATAAACGTTTCAAATCGATGTATTCTGCAGTTGAAATGGCAAGCTGATTATCATACAACTTTCGCAATACCAATTCTTGTCCTTGAATGGAACTTTGTTCGCTATTTGAATCGTCGTCGTTATCGTGAATTCATCCTCTTCACTTACCTTTGTATTAACCTGTTTCTTTCCCTTTTCCCTTAACCTTTTTCCTAATTGTAGATTATTCAAAAAGATTGATTGTTTCTTCGAATGAGTCTTTAGACATTGAGTACTTAATTTGTTCTTTATTTAAACTTCTCTATTTAAATGTTGTAATCCTGATACGTTGGAATTTAATTTTATTTAGTGTTTTTTGTGAATGTTTTGGCTGCAAGTGCTTCCCAGTTAATAAAGTCTTCATTTGCCAAAATATTGACTTGGTATGTGGGGGGACCGAAGGCGTCGTGCCGTCGGCTATACGAACTATACGGAGCCCCGGTCTGGGCGGAGTGCCTGTCGTCCCGCACGAGGTGCCTCTTGCGCAGACCGCAGAGGGTCATCGCGGCCCGGGCCGTGCGGGCTTACCGCACGGTCAGCCACGGGGCTGCCTGCGTCCTCTAGTGCCTAGGTTCTTGCCCTGGTTCTGTCCCAGGTGTATCAACACAGGGCCGCGGCGAGAATGCGGGGCGAGCGGCCCGTTCTGGAGGAGGTAGAACAGGTCCGCACCGAGGCGCAGAGGGAGGCTCAGCGCCGATGGGGCGAGGCACTCGCCAACGCAGCCGCTGGCCACCGGACGGATGATTCGTATGTTTTCCAAACCGGTAAAATTAAAAGTCCTTTATAAAATGAATATATTATACAAAGGTGTCCGTTAAAATGTAATGGCTGTAAAATTAAGTATAAATTACGCCAAAAATTACCGTATATGTCAATATTTTTTGTACATTTGGGCTAATTTGAGCAATCTCCTTTATATGTAATAAAATGTCAAAGTCAATTTTGACTTACCGAATGTGTCCTAATGGGTGTAAATACATTTCCCTCAATTGATGTACTTTCACTCATAGTGTAAAAAACTAAAATTCTACTTAATATTTGGAGTAAAAAGACTGTAAATCGAAATCATACTGAACTTTGATTTGTACAACAATTTATGTTTTTGCAATTTGATACTTTGTTAGTAGTAGTGCAGTGTTAGTACACCTTATGTACTTGACTCATATCCACAGGTTTTTACAACCTGAGATTGAAAAAACATATGGCATTACACCAAACGGTCATAGCATCAATATTTTATGTGGTTCTTACATCATAAATTCTAAGGAAATTTCTGTTTAGACGCTGAAGATATCAGGGCTGTAAAAACCATATTTTTGTGAATTTGATTGCGTCACATAGACCAATCTATAGAGCGGAAAATTCTGAATAAAAGGGTATTCATAACTCGTTTTATGTAAAATGGTTTATACGACCCTCTACCCCAAGGTGTCGATATGTGAAGGAATCGTTTGAGACAGAGAACTGCGGGAGTTTCAGATTCTTTGTTTCTTATTACGTATTCCAAGAACATTGCAGTACCTATTCATTGCCCTAGCAGATCCATCTTTAACTGTCTGGATACTTCCATAGCTTTAGTTTTCAAGGAATCGTTTCATAAAACTTTTAGCAAAGTTTTGTATAAAACCTAAGAAATCTTCCTCGTTTATAGCTTACTACTTCATTTCTTTTAATGCCTTTATGGCACTGAAATAACATGAAATGGGTAGTGTGTTCGTGGTCTGTGAAAATTTACATACATAATTCAGATTTATATTCCAAATTAATTTTACCATTTTCCTTTTATTTAATCATAATGGCAAATATGCATTTCGTCACACTAATTGTAGTGTTTCTAGCCTTTGTTAATGATAAAAACATCCGTTGAGTAATTATTTAAAAAGCGTTCTCCGCGCAACTTAGATAATAAATATCACTATTTTTTTATTGAAATTGTATACACATATAAATAAATAATAATTGGGTATTGATTGTATATTAATAATTGGTTAGGAATAACAAGCGTGTCACCGCTAAAATGGGTCCTTGAAGAACTACTCAGTCGCTTTTCTTTTAAGCTTAGCTTTGAAGATGCAACGAACGATTACGCGGATTTAGCCTACACGTACTAGCCCATGTGGACTGTATCTAACAAGTAATAAGCATTTCTGAGTATACTCAGGAACGTCCAATCAACTTAATGCTTCATAAATTCTGTCGCATTATCATTATTTTCGCAAAGACAGTGGCAGCATCAACTTCAGTTCAACTCAAAAGTTAAAAGACTTCTCTGAGTGAATATTGAAATTGCTAATTTTTCTTCTGACACAATGTTCTTGTCAGAGACCTCTAAATACACGTGAAAAAGTTACTCCTAGTTGTGTAAAGCACCTAGTTGCTGTAACTCCGCTCAAAAGCTTGGTATATTAATACACTCACATTTCAATAGATGGCGCTTAGACATTTATGTTTGTGGAAATATCACGTGTTTCCACATTAACTGCTGTTCATTAATCCTGGTACATAACGAGTTTTTATTTGGATTGATAATTGTATAAAACTCTTGATACAGTTATTATCTTGTATATACTTATAAAACACTTAAAGGTGCCGTAGCGTAGGGGGCGTAGTTCTATCAGCGTAGTTCTAGCGATGTCTCACATTGACAAAAATCGTAGTACCAATTTTGGTACTTCACTTGTAATTATTTTGAAAACTTCGATTATTTAAAAGTTAGAATACCACTGTTCCTTTTTGAAATTTCCCTCCGCATTTTTTCTAGAGTCAGTTAAATTTTTCTTGTGTCATAAAAAAACGGATCTGCATCGAAAAAATTTTCGTGCTATAATTTTTTACGATTTTAAATGTGGCTTAAACCTGATGAGTCATTTGATCGATTTCAAACTGCTTTTATGGATGAAGGACCTTCAAGAGTAACCATCTACCGCTGGTGTAACGAGTTTCAACGCGGTCGTCTTACTTTGGGGGTAGAACAAAGGACCTTGTCCTACGACGGCTGTCACCGAAAAAAGTGTGCTGGCAGTAAAAAAAATAATACAAGAAAACAGACAAATTACGTATGGAGAGATTCAGCGTACTCTGCAGGTTGGTTCAAGAAGTGTTCACAAGATTTTGCACGAGCATTTTACAAAAATATAAATACGATCTAGAAACAAAGCGTCAGTCGACAGTTTGGCTGTTTTAAAATGAACCAACGCCTACGAAAGTGAAGCGATAGAGGAACTCAGGGAAAATTTTGATCGCTAGTTTCTTCACTTTGAAAGGGTACTTAATTTTAATTCCACTTCGAGACCAAAGCAGCAACACCGAATGGTTAGCGCAAAAGCGACCTAACACCAGGCTCCGCGGCGTAGTTCCTGAGTCAAATCTCCTCCTCCTGTTCCTCACTCTGCGATCAAAACGAAGAACTTCCTGAAGACTTCACACCAGTCAGTGTCTTGGGACACCCTCGTTTCAGTCCTGATTTGGCTCCAGGTGACTTCTTTTTGTTCCCTAAATTAAAAATCAACTCAAAGGGATACACAGTTTTCATCGCCGGAAGAAGCACTAGCAGCGTTTGAGAAAGCCGTGAAAGAGGTGTCTGCAGAGGACTGGAAATAATGTTTTGAAAATTGGTTCAGACGCATAAAACTTTGTATAGAGGCGAAGAGTTCTTTGAAAAGAATTAATAAAAATATTTTTTTTCATAGAAATTAGTTTTTTAGTTTCTCTAAACTTTCTGAGTGTTCCACGTATTTTTAAATAAATATCTATTAGTTTGTTTCCTTACAAAGTAATTACGGATATTGCTGTGATTACTTACAATAAGTTGTTATACAAATTACAAGGAGTTTGTCATTAAATGCATAGTGGGTTGTCGAGTTGATTTCAATGTAACGAGGGAAACAATGTAAGTACTTATAAGCTAAATTAATATTTGCTTATATGTCTTCAAAGAAACAATGTAGAGCTGAGAATAAAACAATAATGCGCATTGCATCATTATCTCATTTTCTTAATGAAACATCATCAACAAAGTTTAAAACCAACATTTTCAAAAGCTTTTAACTTTAATAAAGATAATCATGAGATTATAGTTGCGGATTTACAAAAAAATAGACTTAAAACAATCAGGGCAAAATCTTCTTCACAATCTTTTAATTATTTTTGTAATAGTTAAAAATATATTAAAAACTATCTAATAGGACAAAATAATAAGATGGTGAACTCTAACAAATATTAATTTTGTTAACTAAACAAAAGTTAGAACTATTCTGAGATTGTCTTACCTTTTTTTTTTTTTTTCGATGACGGGGAGAAAAAATGCATTATATCCACGACAATGACCAGCGCCACGTTAGTTTGCTGTCAACAAACTCTCGCGACGCAGGTAATTGCGTGGTGCATTCGGCAAGCGGCGAGCAGCCCGAGGGCCGCTAGTCAGTGCGGGTATACTTTGACGTGCGCTCACGTAAGCGTGGCACACGTCAAACCACCCCGCCTCCGACCAGCAGCCTGGTCCGCACCCGCTTTAGCCGATCCTGGGCTTCTCCGTTCACAGCGTCACCTGACTAGTCTCACGGACCGCAGCCCGAGCGGCTAGCCAGCCGACCAGCTCCCGTACCTACCAGGTAAAACAACTCCCCGATCTACCCCTCGCCCTCCAAGCGTAACTGCGGGATCCAGTTATGAGTCGCCGCTTATTACGCCTGGGTTCCTACCCCCTCGCGATGGTGCCGCGGAGCACCCCCTCCCTGGCAGTCAAAGAAGGTTCTGCTAAAAGACTAGCAGGCGGGCTCGGCGCCGCCGACCAGTCCTCCCCCTCCTGCGTCGAAGAGAGTTCGCGTGGGCTTGATCCTCGCGAACTCTCTCCGCCGCCTCCTTCCGTGAGATGACCTCCTCGCAGAAGGAGACCACTACCTGCCAGGATCTGTCACTTCCCAGCATAGCCCGTACCACGCTGGGGAGCGAGAGATCCATTCCCACTGCCGCTGTCAGAGTGCCGCGCTGTTGCGCCCACGACGGGCACTCCTGTAGGGTGTGCTGCGCCGTGTCCACCTCAGCGCCGCACTCGTGACACGACGGGGTCGCCTCCCTCCGAATCCGGTGCAAGAACTTACCGAAGCATCCGTGCCCGGTAAGAACCTGCACCAGGCGGAAGGTCAGCGACCCGAACTTGCGGGACGCCCAGTCCCCGAGGAGTGGACGCAGGGCATCTAGGGTTCGGTGCCCGTGTGTGGGAGACTGCAGCATCAGCTGCCATCTCTCCATCAGGCCCTCCTCCGCCTGGCGACGGATCTGCGCCAGCTCCCCAGGGGCCAGTCGCTCCCCACGTGCCATTGCGGACGTCCGTGCCTCGTACATCTCCGCGAGAACTCTAGCATCGAGTTCCCACGGAGGCATACCGGCCAGCGCGCAGGCAGCTGCCCAAGAGACGGTTCGGTACGCCCGCACCGCTCTGTTGGCCGCCACTCTTTGCGGTCTTCTCAGGAGCGCCTTATTTCGCCCTCCCAGAGCAGACACCCATACCGGCGCCCCATATAGGGCCATGCTTCTGATGACTCCTGCATAAAGTCGGCGGCACTCATTGTTCGGGCCGCCGATGTTAGACAGGAGTCTCCCCAGCGCCGTTGCAGCGCCCACCAGCCTCGAGGACTGTCGCTGGAAGTGCTCTCTGAAATTCCAGCGCTCGTCCAGCAGCAGTCCCAGGTGCTTGAGGTGGCGCCCCAGAGGCACCCTTACCCCATCCACAATAATGGATGCATCCTCTGGCGGCCCCCCCCTCGGGCCGCGGAAAAGTATCGCCTCTGTCTTTTCCACGGCCACGTCCAGGCCCAGTTGCCGTATACGCTCGATCACCATGGAAGCCCCCACTTCGGCTAGGCGCTTCGCGCCGCTAAAACTGTCGCCCGATGCTGTGATGAGGGTATCGTCTGCATAACAGACGATCCCCAGCCCGGGCGGCAGGACGACGCGAAGCACCCAGTCGTATCCCATGTTCCACAATAGTGGTCCTAGGACCGACCCCTGTGGAACACCACGCCTCATACACCTGGACCTCAGTTCTCCCCTCGAGTTGATGTAGAGCACTTCCCGATCACTCAGGTAGTGCTCCACAACCGCCCGAACTCGCATCGGGATCCTGTGATAGGCCATCGCCTGCCTGATACACTCGAAAGGGAGAGTGTTGAACGCATTCCTAATATCTAATGAGATTGCCATCAACACTCCCCCTCCCCGCGTTATCCTTTCCGATTCCCTTTTCAAGGCCATCAGTGCGTCAACCGTGGATCGCCGCCGTCTGAAGCCATACTGGCACTCCGCCAGCCCCGGCCCTGCGGTCTCTAGATGCCGGACGATTCGGTCAGCAAGTATTCTTTCGAATATCTTGCCAGCCTCGTCCAGCAGCACCACCGGGCGGTAGGCCGACGGAGTGTCAGCGGGCCTACCTTCCTTCTGCAGTAGGCAGAGGCGACCTTTTTTCCACCGCTTGGGGAAGACACCCGTCTCCAGGCAAGCGTTGACCAAAGCAAGGTATCGATCCCCCAGGTGCTTCAGCGCGATCCCTAATACCCTCCCTGGAACCCCATCTGGTCCCGGCGCCTTCTTTTTGGTACCGAGTCCCTCCATCACCCCCTCGAGCTCCTCTCTTGTCACTGGGGGTTCCTGTTCTGATTCCTCCAACGGCTGGAGCCCTACCATGGGCGGAATTGCCGGAACTTCTTCCGGAAACAGCGAGGAAACCACCCGATCCAGCAACTCTGGGTCCATCGTCTCCGTGACGGGAGGAGATTGTCTTACCTGACAATATGTTTATGTAATATAGTAAAGAACATACAATATGTTTAATTTTATAAAGAAGGAACCGCAGTGACTTCATTTTTCCCTGCTTTTGAGATCAAAATAAAGATATTTTCGCTAATTTTTCCACAGTACGGACATGAATACTTACATCTTATAACTAACGAACTTGGTATCAGTATTGTATTACATTAAAACAACATTGAAACGTCGGACTGACAACAAAAATACAATTTTGAATACAATATTTCAAATCCCACCACGGATTCCGCGATTGAAGGGCACGGCAGGAGAAATATATATATCTATGTATAAATCATATAAATACTCCCAACTCTCACAACTTTAACGATGTCAAAAACCTAACACGTTTCTTAGTTATTATATTTATTTTATCATTAATAAACGGGTAAGGGATAAAACATTGGGAACTTTAATGTGGATTATGGAAATATTGAGATATATTGGAGAATATTTAATTTAAAAAACTACTTAATTTTTGGGTTTACGATGATATTATATCAATACATGACAGCAAAACAGTAAGATGATTATTTTTAGTATAATAATAATGTCCATAATTATTATTGACAATTTTTATCAAGTTTTTTACTATTTATGCATTATTATTTATGTTACCGTTTTTATAAAGAAGCATGTAAAAAACCAAAAAACACATAAACTTAATTTTCTCAACCTTCCCATGAGTTACAAAAAAAAATACACATTTCTAAAGTACGTACGTTACATTTATCTAAAAACTACCATAGGTTTCATCGGTATTCGCAGAATTATGGTTTTTGGGTTAGAAAGTTCTCAATGTCACTTGGATTCTTCTCTCTATCGTAATGAATATTCAAGTCTCTATTTCATACACTGGAATCATTTACTAGGTCAACAGTAACTAGGTCTTCAGTTTTTCTTTTTATTTCTTGAAGATTTACTTTTTTCCGCGTTCGCTTTACTACTGAAATATCTTTTGAAAAATAATATAACACTAATGATCAAATACAAAAATACTAATAACACAACTAAAAGAAAAGCATAAACATCTAACATGTTGTAAGCGACCCAACTCAACTGGATAGCGGGGTTTTTAATGAAATCAGCACCGTTATGTCTAATAACATACTCGATCCAATACATTGCAGTATCTAAAGGAGTCATCGGTCTATCCTTAAATCTTTTGGACATTTCTTTAGCCACATTTTGGTAAGAAACATTAAAGAGAACGTCAACGAGTTTGCTTCGCAGGCTCTGTTCATTGATGTCTTCGAAGCGCAGAATCTTGCCGAATCCTAAATGTTGGGCTTGGAGTAGATTGTTGTACTGGTCCGCGTATATAGGAACTCCTATTATTGGTACTCCGTGGAAAATTGCTTCTTGCGTCCCGATCAATCCTCCGTGAGATATGAATACCTTGATATTTGGATGAGCTTAAAACAAATATATCATTTATGTTAACTTCGACATTTTGAATGTATACACGTGTATAAAATATGACGAAATAAGTGCGATCAACTCTGACTAGCTCGCCGTTCAGCTTTTTGCTGTTTTTCAAGGTTGCGCTAGTAAAAACTTTGCTAACTATGTACCTCTGTCTAAGATTATCAAATAAAAAGAAGTTGGTTGGACTAAGGAAGCTTAAATTTTCAGTAATGCACAAATGTATATATATTGCAGTTGCTAACACGTTCGATCTGCTCTCGTGAAAGACATTTCCAGCGATTACACTTTTACCTTTTAATGACCGGTCATAGGATTGGCGACCAAAATGTATTATCTCTAGCAAGGGTAAATCCGGGAGACTTGGCTAGATAGGGCAATTAAACCATTTTTAAAATTGTATTTGTATTGAGCGCAAACAAAATGTTAATTCGTTCATTGGTCACATGCAAGACTGTATTGTTGTGAATGGTGTCTCAATTGTGACCAATGAACGAATTGACGTTTTGATTGCGCTAAATTTTTAATAAAATTTTGAAAAATAATCCAACTCTACCACCTGAGCAAGTCCCCCGGTTTTCCCCTACTCTGTGCTTCAGAAATTACATTAAGCCGTTGTCCCGGGCTGTAATCGGTATCATACAACAATCCATACTGAGTCTACGTGATGATTCGACCCGTTCTCTCTATTTTATTCATAAGGAAGCCTGTATTCCAGAAGACCTAACAGCAATGAAATATTTGCTGGGCCTTCTATGAAAATATGAAAAAAAAACATCATCCAAATTATGTGTTATATATGTGGTATTAAGCTCCTTAATACTTAAATGAAATATTAATGCCTGGCTGATATTGAAGTTAATTCAGCATTTTATTCATCACAATCCGTTTCATAATCTCTCTATTCCTGTACTAAAGCTAAATAAAATAACTAAATATATATAAGTTGCTTAAACATTCAATACTTACACAATACTTCTTTTTGTGGAAACCATTTCCTGAATACTATATTTTTAGTTTTTAAATCTGATTTATCATCCTCCCATTTCCATAATATTGTGTGATTCAATTCTGAGAAAACTTTTATAAGAGCATTCATCTTATCGACTGGAAGTTCTGAACTTCTTACATTTGAGCCGAAATTTACGTATATTACTCCTTCTTTGGCTTTGTCCAATAAGCTCTGTAAATCCTAAAAAAAAAAAACCTATAATAAATGTGTGGTTGCACTATCGATCAGTTGACATAAAAACGCTCATCCTGCTTTTTTAAAGATTCTGGGTAAATTTTTCACTGTCTTTACAATTGTTTCCGGGCAATTTTTTTTCCAAGTCGTAGTTTTTAACTTATTTTGTTGTTTATGTCATGACTCTTTAATTAAATGACATGTAGTTCAGAATTGTATTAAGTGTATCAATTTCTACATCCTCTGGTATTAAGTCCCTGCATAATTTAGTAGAATTTAATTTACCTACTTCCTTGTTTTCGAATTGAAAACATTAATACGATGTTAAAATAAAATGAAAGATTGGTTCTTACCTCTGGAAGTTTCTCAGAACTACGTGTTAAATGCACACCACCAATTTCAACGACATTCGGAAGGTAAGCAACTGGCGCATCAAAACTGAAATGGCTGTTTATAAAAAACAACGAAACATTTCTTTGAATCTCGTACAAATTCGGCATTGGTTCCGGTAGACCCGGTACGTACTTCTTCGCCAGTTTTTCTTGTTCCACTAAATACCAGTATTTCCACCAAGCGAATTCATAATATGTGAAGTAAAATGTTCGTAGTCTACCCCAAAAACTGGGCGGGTCATTTAGGTCGAGGAATTCGGGGATCACTGTGGCCAGTTGTAACGGGTTTCTAAAAGCAATGTTATGTCTCATACAATTGCCAAAAGTCGTTACCAACACTAGAGGTGCTTGATACTTGAGTGCAAGGGTATACATGGCCTCTTGGAAAAATTGTTCACTAATCACTAAATCGTATGTGTTGTCGCCTGCTAAAAATTTTCTCACTTCAGTTGAATTTAGCGCTAATTCCGTAAAGGCCAAGCCGCCTCGCCAAAAAATTAAATCATGAAATTCCTCCGCTGATAATTCTGCCATCGTGAATACGTTTGGTCTAGTTCCTGTAAAAATAAAACGTATCTCACTAATTAATTTTGCCCCTGAAATAATTTGCATTCAATATTGACGAAATTTTATGATCATGGCACTTAACTACTACTTTATTATTTTCAGATGCTTAATTATACTTCTTGAAAATATATAATTCAATGAATTGTATAAAGTAGATAACCAATCGTTAGCATTATAAGTAATATGATAAAAAAAAGTGGAAGAATGCCAGCCTACTATAGTTTCCAAGTTTTACTTTCTAACTTTGTCCATCAATGACTTTCTATAAAAAGCCATTGTGGTCCATTTATGAAAGAGCAATTTATGTATCCATTAAAAATTTACTGCAAAATGTACCAGGCATTTATAAATCCGTTTTAGAGTACGATACCCAAAGCGGAAAAGAGGGGCCAATTAAGACTTCAATGTCCGCCTGTCTGTCACTGGGCATCTCACCTCGGTATCGGTATCTCATGAGCCGTGATAGCTAGACAGTTGAAATTTTCACAGATGATGTATTTCTGTTGCCGCTATAACAACAAATACTAAAAACAGAAAAAATAATTAAGTGGGGCAATATTCCATACAACAAACGTGATTTTTTGCCGTTTCTTGCTCGATATTAGTAACGGCAACAGGTAGACGCTTGAATATTTACAGAATATTTACTTGTATATTCACTTTAAATATAAACAATTTAATTAAAACAAAAATATATTAGGGAGCTGCCATACAACACGCGTGATATTTTTGCCGTTTTTTGCTCGATGTTATATTTCATAATTTCACATAGTATAATTTGTGCACAAGTCCGTCTTGCACTTGGTCAGTGTTTTATACAATATACAATGCAAAAAAAAAATATTATAAAGGTTATTTTAAATTCTCAACATTTTTCACTATTTATAACGAAAAGGTCTTATTTGAAATTTAATTCGCTCATATTATTTTTAAGCAATAATCTCGATGAATAAAATGGTCCAACTTTAATACCTACTGTTTTAAATATAAGCGTATTGGTAAATAAGCAAAAGAATTTCACATACCCAAAACTTCCCATATTTCCTTTTTGTCAATTAGTATTTGTTTATAGTTGGGAAGACTAGTCTTTTCCAAGTATCCTGTGATGACCGTAACATTATGTCCTCTTTTGGCTAACTCCAAACCGATTGGCTTCAACATAATATTGTGCGATCTAGATGTAAAAGGTACCACATACAAAATATTTGCACATTCACCATAATAAAATATCGTCAGTAAAATAAACGACTTCAAGTATCTCTTTAACATTTTGACCGACCAACGCCCGCCCGAACTCAGTAGGCCTCAATTGTCTCTTAATGGTCTGTCAGTCTTGTATGAGTACGACGAAGTAACTGATAGTATGATTCTCTGATACCCCGCGTTAGTACAATATTATCTTCTACACGCGTTGTTACATGCGTGTGACGAAGACGACAAACATTGAGAATCGCTCTTCGAAACAGGTTTACAATTATGCTGAGTAATTGTTCAGCGATAATTCACCAGTAGACCTTATTTAAGATAATTATTATTCATGACTTAACAGTATATCATTGTCATATCATGACATGTCACCAAAATTATAATTTCACTAGTGGCCGCCCATGATTTTGTCCGGGTTGACTTTCATTTTTTAGGGTAGAATAATAGAATTAAAATTTTTATTGTCACTGTTATAAGGTAAACAGTAACTGTTAATTTTATTAGAATAAAAGCAATATGCACAAATCTCGTAACACGGAAGTGATTATTTATTATTGTCATAAGACCTTGAATAACTTAACAACCATTACGCTAACTAACAATACAATCTATTCATAAAAACGCTCTTCACACGTCATCTATTCAGTCTACATAGAAGTACATAGATATAAAGTGCCGACCGAAAAATATAATATAACACCAAAACTGTAGTAACATCACAGAGCACATTGTTATATATAGAGTAAGATTGAAATAGAAGTTATAGCTTCATGCATATTCAAAAAATAAACTAATAATAAGAAATTGAATGTTTTGTCAAGATTATATTTTAACCGAAGCATGATGGTAATTCGATATGATACGCAATAATTCGGCTGGACGTTGTCATAGCCAAGGTCAGGGTCATTCATAACACCGAGAGCTGCTACTGATAATCCGTATTTAAATACTTTATTTTATTACAGTACCTAATATTGGTAAAAATATGTTATGTTATAATTCTTTTGTACTCTTAAAACCTGTTAAAACCCTGGGCGAAGTACGAATATTAAATTGCCATGCTATCATTCAATTTATTAGTGTAGATCTTAGAATAAAACAAAAAGGGAAGATACAGCAACACTTTTCATTCGCAAAACTATAAAAACTATTTTTTAGGGTTCCATACCTCAAAAGGACAAAACGAAACCCTTATAGGATCACTTTGTTCTCCGTCCGTCCGTCCGTCTCTCAAGGCCGTTTTTCTTAGGAACGCGTGGAGGTATCAAATTGGAAATCATATCTAATACTCGTGTCTACTGTCCCTTGGAGCTGAAAAATATCAATCTACTAAGCCAAAGCTTTTAGTTTCAGCCGGGGCACAAAAAAAATGTTTTTGTGCGTATTTATTTTTTCATTTAACAATACTAATAATCTGAAATATATTTCGTTTCTGTCGGGCTTGGATTTTTTTCCTCCTTATCAGGAGAAATAATATAATAATTTTATTTATCAATAAAATTAGCAATTTCACTCATTTATTCTCATCGATTTCGATGATGCCACTTACCATTTTTTTTTATTAAATAATAGGTACTAAAATCTCAGACATAATATTTCGTTTCTGACGGGCTTGGGTTTTTATTTCTATGAAAAATAAAAGCATTCAAAGTAAAACGGCCGTATCTCAATTTTTGGTTTACATAGAAGTTTATTTTTCTTTTTACAGCTTCAGAGGACTGTAGTTTAATATTTTTAATCATTTTACTGAGATGTTTAAAATTTAAAGAATTTTTTACAAAAATAAAAGTTTCGAAAAAAAAGTGCCTCGTCACTGGAATCTTTTCTAGTAAAATTTTCCTTAGATTTAAATATGGTTTAAATTTCAACTCGATACCTCCATGTGCCCCCTGATTAAGGGTCTTGACAGACTGAAAGTTTTTTTATCTTTTGAGGTGCGGTTCCCAGAAAATAACTCAATTAGCTAAGTATCTGATCTGCCATATTTTTTTTCATTTCTATTAGTTTTTGTTTTGATAGATAGAATCAATCAATATAACTCGAGAATTTCTGAACGCATCTGTGGTACGAATAAGAATATAATGTCCTCTCTCGATAAAATAGTCTTCTTCCAAAATTAAATTCTAGAATAATAATTTAAATAAATTAAGTAAATTATTCTTCTAAGAATTAAATAATGTTTATCCCATATCCTAATTAAATAATGTTTATCCTTATCCTGCTCGGAAAGTGCTTTATTCTTGTTTTCAAAATTAAGCAGAAAGTATTACTGTTGTATTTTTAGCAGGCTGGAAAAGTGTATGGAAATTCATTTCTAACGCACTAAGCGAGGAGAAAAGTCTATGGAAACTTATTGTTAACGTGTTGTTTATATACTCGAGACGGCGTTTATTACTGATAATGAATATTTATTGACACCGCCAGAATAAAAAGAAACTACCTAAGCAGTCATTGAGAACCTATTACTCGTGAAATCAAGAAACCAATTTAAAGCTCCCAGGCGAAATTTAAGTAACTGTAACAACTTTAATATATGGCGGCGGATGGCATCTCACTCGCTCCTTCGAAACGTTAAATCAATAATCAATCAGTAAAATGATTAGAAGATTCAAATTAAACGTTAGCTTGGTCACTAGACTACAGTTTTATTTTCGGGAAATATCATTGAATAACCAAGATGGCGGATCAAGATGAACCTATATATATTTCAATGAAAGAATTTGTCTTTTATATCCTCGCTGGTTTTGTATACAGGACTATACTCGTATATCCCTCGATAGAAAGTGCTATTCCCAACTCGGCCGTATTAAGGCCCTTAGCTGACCTCGGGGTCCAAACTACATCCTCGTTGGTTATTGGTTACTTTCTCCCCTCTATGAACACTGTACTATTTCTCACTCGCACACATGCATTATCGTAAGTGAACCTGTATTTTAGCCGGTCGCCATATTGTTTGTTGTGACTGTGCTACTGGTGTGTTGTGCCCAAACAGATAATTTAATACTGCGTGCGTTTCAGTTGTAATTATTAATAAAAGATTATTCCATTATATAGATTTTTATTTTAATTGCAATTAGGTAGGTACTTTAATTGAATAATTCAATAACAAGACGAATAATAACAAAAAAAGTCATATCAAATAACACAATTTGACTTTCCCATTAAAACTCAAAAATATATATATAAAAAGTATCGATATTTTAGTATCCCACAAGTATATATATATATAACTATTCATATCAATAAGCATCGATGTTTAAAGATATGATTAGTATTGAATAAAGATTTAAGTACTACTCATAAGCATAGGAATCGATTCCTCCCATCACTTGAGTAGATTCGTTTTAACGCTTACATCATGAAGACTTATAAATCTCAATTGATACGTGTCCATGATTGACTAAACTAGGTTGATAGAAAAGAGAATCGATTAAAAACACAATATGTAATTTAATGCTATATCATATATATATTCAACTGTTTCTTATGAGCTATCAAGTTCGGTAAGCAAGTCGGAAATCCCAAGAATAACCAATAAAAACCATCAGTACATCCATCAATGAGAAGATTCTTGGTGTTTATATAGTACAATTCATTCAAAGAAAACAATTGATATTAAAGACAATAACAAAATAATAAATGAGGAGCTCGATGGCGCAGGTGGTTAGCGCGTTCAGCTCAGTTCAGTGACGATCGTTGAAGTTAAGCAACTTTCGCAGTGGTCGGTCATTGGATGGAAGTCCAAAAATCTTCTATCTCCAGTTCCTCCGTGCTTCGGAAGGCACGTTAAGCCGTTGGTCTCGGCCGCATCTGCAGAAGCTAGCACCCGCCGCACTGGGCCCGTGTGGTGGATCATGGCCCAATATCCCTATTCTAACCATAGGGAAGGCCTGTGCCCCAGCAGTGGGTACATTAACGGGCTGATGATGATGATGATGATAGACAATAAGAAATTATTTGTTAAAAAATCTTCATCACTTTTTTTACTGGTAAACGTTTACACATTTGTCTTAGACTTCGCCTGGTATGTGGCACGCAATTAAGATGTGAACTTTATTCATAAATTATTATTATAATAATAATATACCATACCATTTATTTTATCCTCACAAAAGGTGTAACAGTACAATAGGTAGCGAGCTTTTTTTTAATCAATACAAATACATATAAACCTATCATGTGGGAGACTGGTGCCCGTAAAAGGTAACTACGAATAGCTACCCGTACTAATAGGTCACCAGGCCCAAACTATCATACATAAACCAAAACGTTTACCAATACAAGTCTTAAAGGAAAATTGATACCTACTCCAAATTTGAAAAATAAAATGTCAGACAGAGAAAAATGGGCATGTAATCTAACAAGTACTTTAATTAATCTGCAGACTGTTTTGATAAAATTATTAGTAAGTAGCAATAGTATATAAACGTAATAAAATAAAATATTTATTATACCTTTGAGAAACCAAACAAAGAATCCTAATTCAACAGCGGGGGAAACTATAACCCAGCCATCACCATACCAGACCATAAAATTTAAATGGCAGTTTGTGAGTTAGAAAAGGACAATTCATGTTATAAGTATGTGTATAGTCCTATCTTGATTTAATTTGTGAAGAAGTTAATACTTTGGGTTAACACTCATGATAATCACATCAAGCACAATTACGAGTAGAACAGCTAACACGCTTTCATTCTAACAAGAAAATATTTAATTGCTGAGGTAGGAAGTTAGTAGATTATTTTTTTAAAGTGTTCGTTATTTTCATGACCAAAGAAAAAAGTCACAAAGTGAAAAGTCACTATGTTCTTACAGTATAGCACTGCAGATTTTATTCAATGTTCATTTGATTACTCAGTGCAGAATCACATGCTATATATATTAATTGTCCTTTATTTTACCATTTCTTACATCTGGTACATAACTTTTAGGCTTAATAATATGTTGCATTGCATTAACTACTTTGAATACTAAATAAACAAGTATTAATAGTACGATTGCTAGAAAACCGTAAACATCCAACATGTTATATGCAATCCAGCTTAATTTGAGTCCTGGATTTTTCATATAACCAGCACCTTTATTTCTAATAACATATTCTATCCAATAAATAGCAGTATCTAGAGCACTCATAGGTCGATCCTTGAATCTTTTAGATATTTCCTTTGCCCTGTTCCTGTAAGAAGCATGATTCAGAACTTCATTAAGTAAGGTTTCTAAATTTTCTTCATTAATGTCGTGGAATTGTAATATTTTAGCTAATCCTGCTTGCTGCATTTGTAACAGATTATTGTACTGATCTCCATAAATTGGTACACCGATGATTGGGACGCCATGATAAATAGCCTCCTGTGTTCCTATTAAGCCTCCGTGTGATATGAATACTTTAACATTTGGATGCGCTGAAATAAAAAGAAGAAAAACGTAATTTTATAAAATATATTAAAAGACAAGATCACTCTACAAAGAAACTTGATCACTGCCATCGTATCAACAGTTGTTTGATCAACTGTGATAGTATGCAATACCTACATCTTTTTAGTAAGAATGTCACTAAGCGAGTAGGTTGGCTTAACACCAAGGGAGGCTACTTAAAATAACACAGTAGTGCTAAGTATAGCATTACAGAAACTTTATTTAATATTAATATTTTAATAAAATTCACTAAAAATATGATATTTACAGATTTAGCATTTGGTACTCGCCAACTCTCGGCTTGAGGTCCCTTTAAGATCTCGCCGTCCCCAAACCCGGTGACGCTGTGAAGGTCATTTGCGACTAACAGCATGCATAGTAAAAAAAAGCTTCAGAGAGCCATTGTTAACTATTGACATTACATTACACATTACCATTTTACATACTAACCTAATACTTCATTTTGAGGTAGCCATTTCCGTATGATTACATTGTCGGGTTTGCCTTCTAAAAAGTCCTCTTCCCATTTCCATAGAACTGTTACTTTTAGCTTTCTGAATGTATTCAAGAACGCATTTCTCTTGTCCACTGGTAACTTCGAACTTTGTATATTTGAACCAAAGGTCACACATATAACACCGTTACTTGATTCATCTAGTATAGTTTGAAGATCCTGTAATGATGTTTTATAGAATAAATATTTGACAACAATTAATATGTTTTATATACATATTATACTACCTGATGCAATAACCTAACAAAGAAAAACAAGAAGAGAAGTGAAATTGTATAATAAATATGCTATGTTCTTGTGATTAAATTTATTTAACGTCTTCTTTGCCAAGACACAGAGTATAGATATTTATAATTATTACATAATATTTTGTAATACTCACTTTAGGAAGCTTAGGTTTGCTGGGAGATAAATGAACTCCGCCTATTTCCACAATATTTGGTAAATAAGCAGTTGGTGGATCAACACTGAAGTGGCTGTTGATCAAAAACAACGAAACATTTTGCTGCAACTGATATAGACTTGGCACAGGACTTTTAAGATTAGGCACGTATTCCCTAGCCAATTTGTCCATTTTTTCCAAATACCAAAATCTCCACCACACGTATTCGTAAACCGTGAAGTATAAGTTCCTCAGTCTTCCGAAAAAGCTCTTTGGTTCCTGCACAACTAAGAATTCAGACACGACCGTTGCCAACTGAAGAGGGTTTCTTGTTGCAATATTGTGCCTCATACAGTTTCCATAAGATGTTATTAATACCAACGGAGCTTCATATTTGTGCGCTAAAATATACATCGCTTCTTGAAAAAACTGCTCGCTTATTACAACATCGAAATTGTGGTCCGATGCTAAAAATTGTCTAACTTGTGTCGAATTAAGTACGATTTCAGTGAGAGTTAAGCCTCCATTCCATAGAAATCGATTGTGCCTTTCTTCAGCTGATAAATCTACGGATGTGAAATGACTTGGCCGCTTTCCACCTAGAATTGAGATGAGAATGATATGTTAGCGAAATAAATGCTTAAGATAGCAGATGTACTTAATTATATTTTAATTGAGTTTTAAGAATCTTCGATTACATAAATTTTGGGTAGGGTGCGAGATTCAAGATATATATTCTTCTAATATGCAACTGGCTTTCGTCGCCAAAACAAAAAAAAAACAGTCAAATGCGTGTCGTGCCATCCGCAGTGTAGGGTTCCGTAGTAGCCTATAGTTACCACAATATATTTGAGCAGGAGTCTTTATTTTCTAGATCGGAAATAAAAAAAAACAATATCAATCTATGTATCTCAACTAAAATACCTAAATTAGAGTCAAACTGCATCTCAAACTCAAAATCAATTAAATATTCATCTGTTTTTAAATACCTCCTAGGCGGGGGAGAGGGTGTGAAATCTTCACGTGGAAGGCAATGCAAGGATATGTCAGACTATTACTGACTAAAACATACCCGTATTTCATGTTTATGGCCAGAAGGGCCTTGCAAGCTTTATCTGAAGCGATCATACCCTGAGAAGGGGATGATGCTATATAACCGCCGATCTTTTCAAGTTTATAGAAACGTAACGTCAGCGCGACTCAGAAGCCGTTGCCGTTGGTACTCGCAGTAGCGTTGTGGAACTAATGATATTTTATTGTGGTTTTTAAAACCTTTTTTATATTTTGTTGCAATGCAAGCTTTTACTCTATAATAACTTCATCTATGTCACTATTAATGTTTTCTTTTAAGGATTTTTTAATAGATTTTAAAAAAATATTTTTAAAATTTTATTCTACCATTTTGTCGGCATGATCGATATACATATCTCCACAAAATTACAGCTCTCTAGTGCTAATAGTCTCCAAGAAAACTGGGGACGGACATGAAAGAGACGGACAAGAAACTATAAGGATTTACGGAACCCTAAAAACAGCAAGCATTTGGAAATATGATTGAAAAATATAAAATATTGCTCATAAAAGAAAGTGAAAGACTTCCAGTGAAATGTGTTAGTGTGTAAGTTTAGATATGTAGATAGGTGCAGTAATAGCTCTACAGGTTTTGCGGAATGTGGGGTACACTCATCAACATACCACACCATCCGATAAGATAATTAATATTGTTTAAAATATATATATATATATATATACTTTACTGTCTTTTGGAACTTGTATCGACCTCGTCGAGAATCATTTTAAGCATTAAGATAACCTCGGTTTCGGGATATTTGATAATTTTGTACTAGCATTGAAACATATTATCAAAGGTTATCTTTACCGATGAAATCACGTCATCACCGGTAAGTTTTGTTCATTACCTACTCCAAATCCTACTAAAATATCCTACTAATATTATAAATGTGAAAGTTTGTATGTTTATTACACAATCACACAAAAACGGTCGGGCGGATTTGGATAAAATTTGGCACACAAAATTTATAAGAATTGAGACAGGATATATTTTACCCGAAAAATGTTAGGTTCCTGGGGATTCTCAAAAAACAAAAATGATATATATAATCTATAAAATCAAATTATTTGACCAATTATGCCAACACGGCCCTGATGGCCGCGTCGACATTTTCGTAGCCTTAAGCTGAAAAAAAACATTACTATAATTTTGCAGTTAAATACTTAAAAAAAATAAAAACAACTATAATTGCTATTTCTGCTTTAAAATGTTTAATACTTGAAAAAGTATTCATTTGACATTGTGGGTTACCTACAATGCGAAGAGATGGCGCTGCCTTGCAGCTTTAGGCTAGGAAAATTTCGACGCGACCATCATGGCCGTGGTAGCATCATTGGTCAGTGCATTCGCCCGGATTGCGAAGGGTGCGGGTTCGAATCCCGTCCGCTGCCTGGTCCGCGTGGATATTTTTCTAGTAAAACTTTTCTTTACATTTAAACATCTAGCAGTTAAATGCTTAAAAAATAAAAACATAATCATATTATTTATTATTTTGAACAACGTTGGATATGTTAAATATAATGAAGAAGAGGATATAGCAGTCTAAAGAAGTATCCGCCACCAATGGTCACCATGCCAAATAACATCGTTCTGGCATTGCTCCATAGGATAAAGGAATAGAGCTTGAGCTCTGTATAAATTTAGCTTTCTTCGAAACATGGTAAAACGTGTTAAGCCTGCTCAAAAATTGCAGCAAAATTATATTAAGAAAAATGTTTCTGGCGTTAATAATTCAAAAACTCTCGCAACGTGGTGAAAGAATGCTTAACATGGCTTTCTATAAAAATTGCAGCTTATTTTTATCAGAAGAATGTTCCTTAACAATAAAAAAAAAATCTTCTTAAAATCATAGTTAAATACTTATACCTTATCTTGCTTTTTGCGAGTCCTTATATTATTAGAGACATAGTAGTAATCCCACTAATAAGAAAATATGCTAAAATGTTAGTGGCCCTGAAAGTTTAAAACAATATAAAATTTCTTAGAACCTACCTGAATGATCTTTACCCAAAATAAATATGAACCTATACCACTTAAATACTTCCACAATTAATAAAACTAATAAAACAAAAATTTAATTAATTCCATAGACACACTTACCCATAGCATCGAAAATGTTTTCGTCTACTAAAACTTGATGGTAATTTGGAGGTGGTTCCAACTCTTTGAACACTGATATAACAGTCACATTGTGGCCTCTACGAGCTAATTCTAATCCTATAGGTTTCAGCATTATATACTGGGACTTTCCTATATAAGTTATCAAATAAAGAATATTCGCTGCCTGACTGCATGCTATTAAATTCACTAAAAAATAAACACTAAACAACACTTTTCGAGACATTATTTACAAAGTTAGCGACTATTTTGCTTGTCAACTTAAAACATCGCACTCACAATTCAATTTTCCTAAATCTAACATAAGAGAGTTCATGACATGACCAATTACGGACACAGAATGGCACGCACAGATTATTTTTTGTGCGGAAACGTCGCTACCTAATGATTTTTGTAATTATGATAACCCATATCATAGCCTCCACTCAAATATCTTCTATTCAATAGCGGTGTAGTGTACTTAACAGTAAATTCTACAATTATTTAGAGTTTCGAATAAATCTTATAAATCTTAAATTATTTATAATTTAACTAAAGTAATAAATAATATGAATGAAAATAAATAACAAAATGAATGCATCCCAGCTATTAAACTACAAAATAAAAGTCAAAAAACTGTAAAATGGTTTACTAAAGGAATAAAAAATTTGTGCAAACACAAAAGACTTAAAATTTTTTGAATATTCATCATAACCACCACCATGAAATGACCACTGAAAAAAGTTTTCAAAATATTGAAAAAAACTATTTCATGTTCGAAAAAACTGTATAATATAAATAAAATTAAAAAGTCTAATAACGTTACCAAGACTATGTGGCAAATGGTCAAACAAAGAACAAATAAAATGCCAAAAAAGCTCACAATAATATAAAATTACGTACAAAGGGTACTCTAGCATCAGACGCCCACGTAGTGGCGAATATTTTTAATAATTACTTTACATCAGTAGGTGCGTATAACGAAGCTCAACCGCTGCTGGGCCGCACTGTTGTTTCCCTTGTGCAGAACTCGTTTTTTCTAAAACCAACTAGTGTTGCAGAGATGATGTCAATCTTAAAGCGATTAAAAAATAAAACCAGTTGTGGTTATGACGATTTACCTCCCATGTTAGTAAAAAAATGCTCAGCGGAATTAACGTGGCCTCTCACATTTTTAATCAACCAGTCCTTTGACGAGGAGACCGTTCCGGATAAATTAAAAAATTCTATTATCAAACAAATTCACAAGACATCTGATACTACATTAAAAAGTAACTATCAACCTATAGTTTTGCTGTTAACTTTTTCAAAAGTATTTGAATCCGCCATGACTACTCGTTTGTATTCTTTTTGTGAAAAATACAATATTTTCCATGAAAGCCAAAATGGATTCAGAAAAAAACGCTCTACAACTATAGTAGTTTTCAAATATGTACAAAAAGCTCTTGAAATTATTAATAAAAAACAATATTCTGTGGGTTTGCTATTAGATTTAAGTAAAGCATACGATAGGGTTTTGCCAAAAATATTTTTAAAAAAATATATGACTTAGGAATAAGGGGCATAGCACATGACTGGCTTGTCTCATACTTTAAGAACCGGGTACAATGTGTTGAAGTTCAGCACAAATATTGTAACAGCAACCAAATAAAAAAAAATCGATCTGACGAAACAACTGTGACAAAGTCTATACCACAGGGTAGCGTCATTAGATATTTGCTATTCCTTTTGTATATCAACGACTTTTTTAATGAAGACAGTATATTGTTGGCTGAAGATATGTCGTTTATATTTCCTGTGTCTGAAGATACAAACCTTAACCATAAATAAGACATAATCCTAACAAAATTACTACTCTGGTGAAATGACCACAACCTTATTATTTATTTTGAAAAAACTAAAATATTGGTATTTCGACCATATCAAAAGAAACCTCTTAAAATAAACTTCACGGCACGAGGTAAAAAGATAGAGCACGTAAACAATTTTAAATTATTAGGAGTTAATATAGACTGCAACTTTAACTGGAAAAAGCCATATTGAATATACAGAGTGTAAAAAAACCTATCACGAAGTCGAAAGCCACGTATTTTCGACATCCTGACGATCATTTTTTTCTTCTGGATCATACCTCGGAAATTTGTGGTTATGGAGATAATGAAGGTCAAAGACAAATTTTTTTTTCAAGATTTATACATTAATATTTTCAAAACGTTATTTAGAAAATTTTTAATGACGCACTTACACACACGCACACACATACAGACAGGCACTTCTTCTTTGCATAGCGCTACAGTAGCGCGCCGCGCCATACATTGCGTACTGGAAAAAAATGTATTTTATTTAACTTAAAAATACAATTTTTCCCATGTGTAATATTTTGTAATATAACTTATTTGAGTGTACAGAATGCGTAGTTCAAGTCTTTGTCATAGGTTTTTTTACACCCTGTATATCGAATAAACTATCTAGATTCATCTATGCACTAAATGAGTTAAAAAGATCTACCGATACACACACTGCCAGAATAGCTTATCTCGCATACACACAATAATGTTTGCGATATGGCATACCTATATGGGGAAAGAGTTTGGATGCTCCTATATTACTTACGCTTCATAAATAATGTATAAGAATCATGGCCAATATAGATGCAATGGAAAGCTGTAGACCATTTTTCATAAAATATAAAATACTAACTGTAACATCTTTATATATCCTGAAAGCATGTAAGCTAGTAAAAAAGAACCAAATATCATACATAAATGCCAAATATTTTTGTAAATAATAAAGATAATTATACTGGATCGACACAACTTAGAAATAGATATAGATTTGCACTACCAAAAACTACGCTATCAATAGTTGGATCAGAGCCATATTCAATAGCGATTAAATTGTACAAAGAGTTACCAAATCATATAGGCCGATAGACGAATTCGTTAAGTTTGTTACAACCTTAAATAATTACCTTGTTAATAAACGTTTTTATAAATTATGTGAATACTATAGGACTATTAAATAATTTCAAATATTAAAGATACCTGGACATGATTATTATTATTCTTATCATTATTCATATATAAAATATGATAAAATTGACTTGATATTTATTTGATAATTGTTATTATATTACTACTTGTAATGTTAATATAAATTTAATTTTAGCTATAAGCTCAACATTGTTATGTCCTAACAGGACTCTGGTGTTTTTTTTTAAATAGAATAGAAAAATACTTTATTTGTTCTCTCACATAGAATTGCATAAGGTGAAAAGTAAGGTATAAGCAAATACACAATTTAGGTACCAACTTATAACTATGTAAGAGACTGGCTTCTGCACTAGGAGAACCTGTATGACAGATAACCAGCCTCTCCGACTCTGGATCAGGTGGCTAATGGTACCTCGTACTAATAATTTAACACAAATATAAATTAACTTGTGAGTATGTGTTATGCTGTGTGTGCGTGTGTGTGCGTGCGTGCATGTGGAAGTGTGTGTATATGTGTTTATGTTGTGTACTCATATTTAATTTAATAATATCCTGAGTTACCTACTTATGTAGGAACAGTTGGAAGTTCTTCAGTGTCATCTCTAAGACCCTTCAGAAAAGCAGTAGTAGCCTCCTTACATTTTACCTTATAATAATGTTAGACCTTGTTTACCACATGAAACGCAATAAAATTTCTGATTACTGATTAATATATTTCAGTCAGTATATTAAAATTAAATTTTCATAATGATTGTTGAAAAGAAAGGCACTTATTCAATTGTTTGCTTTGCTTGCATTAAATTATATTCATTTGCATAATTAGTCATAAAAACTGTGTTTGTTTTAGTAGGTCTACTAAAAATGCAAAATCTGATTTATTCTTAGAATCAATTTTCCATACTGGAAAATTAAACAAAGTAAAACGAATTTAAGACATCGTTTTAAAATTTCGTGGTCACTAACATTATGCCATCATCACGATGTAAGCCCGATGATCATGGCGCTTGCAACAGTACCAAAATATCGGAAACTCGCTAAAAACAAGGTACATGGTAACAATCCCGTAAATAACATAAATTACTACCATTTAATACATAATAACAAAGGGGTAACATGTTTTTTTTACTATTGCATCATATAATAAAATAACAATGTCCTAATAAAGTTTGATGATAAAGTAGTTATGATGTTTCGTAGCGTCCTATTCAAATAAAAAGTCCAATAGTAGTGTTGATATGATATTTAATATTCGACAAACCACTAAAATCTGTAATAAAAGGTATCGTTTTTAAAAATTGACTAAATTCAAATTTAACGCATTTATTTTATATGAAGCGCAGGAAATTACCCCTTTTCATCTGATGTTATATGTAAGTGGGGACCAGTCGCAAAGATAAATGATGCGGCAGAAAGTGTAACGTTCCAGCCATCCTCACCTGAATTCAATCCCCTACCCCACCGAGTCCTGAAACCCTCACCAGCAGAAAAACAACACCACCAAAAGGTTCTATTATTTTACTGTGGCCTTCTGTAAGATTTATGTTGCTTCGATTCGAGCGGGAAATTTGCTGTGCCCTTCTGTAAGTTTTATGTGGCTTCGATTCGAGCGGGAAATTTGCTGTGCCGTACCTCTCCTAAACTCAAGCTAGAACAAAATTCACAGATTAAGGAGGGCAAAGTCAAGGTTTTACAAGGTCTTCTATGAAAACTAAACTAAAGCTCTGACATGGACCGGACTTTCGAATGGTAATATGTATACTTGCTTAGATAGATAAGATGGAGAAGGCTGGAGTGGCACATTTTTCTGTTACATATGATCTTTTAACAACTGGAATTAACTTACACTCTAAATATGTTGCAGCACATTGTAAAACAAACCAGACAAGTATACATAGGTATAATAGGTACGCAAATGCAACATAAATGCTGTATCTTATTATGTAACAGTTTCAAAGGACCGTAGATTTGAGAATGTGGTTTAAATTTCAACTCGATAACTTCACCCGTTTCCAAGATTTTGAGTGATTTGACTTTTTATCCTTTTGATGTACGGAACCCTAAAAATACAAGCAAATTATCGTTCCGCCTTGTTTCCATTGTTAAATCCATTTAAAATGGAGCGCTAGAACTTATACTACCAATAATGAATTACCTAATAATACTAATAAAATACCTGTAGAGGAGCTCGATGGCGCAGGTGGTTAGCGCGTTCGCCTGAAATCGTTGAAGTTCCTCCGTTGGTCCCGGCTGCATCTGCAGTCGTTAGCATCCGCCAATCCGCACTGGCCCGCGTGGTGGGTCATGGCCCAACCCAATCTCCCTTTTCCATCCATAGGGAAGGCAT